TTACTGCACTGACAGGAATCATCAGAAGGTACCCCTGTGAATCATCTGGGTAATTCCTATGGCTCAGAAGTTTACCCCAAATCTACATTAGGTCTCAATTCTAAAGGACTCTGGAGTTTCACCATTTTTACTGAGCTACTGACATCTCAAGATCAGAGCCCTGGTCTTGCAAGCCCTACAGATGGCTCCATAGAAACATACACAATCCTGAACCACAGAATAGCCCCCAAATTCCAGGTGGTATCACTTTAGTATCTTTATTTCATTCCACTTGTTTTTATTTCATTGCATTCTATTACAGCCTAAAGACCACTAAATGAAGGGGTTAGAAGTGAGATCTAATCATGTTCTTGACTTTCCAGAAGTCAGGTGTAACCTACACGTTTCTAAGAATATGAAGCAAAGTACAGTTCCAGTACTTATCTAAACTACACAGTTGATTCTTCCTTACTTTATCCCTACCTACAAAGAGAGAGATGACATGTAACCAAGTGTAGGCATTCCAGTACATTCATTACAAGCTCAATCTGCTGAAGTGATGGCAATGACGGGGTATATTATATCGATTAATCTGAGATACTACGTCAGGGTAATATAATGCTTGAAACTTTATACTTGGAAATGCAGAAATACAAAACCACCACCCATGGGCAGCCTCTTCTCAGCCAAGAGACAAGACGCACTTAGCTCAGACCATGAGGAGACAAAAACAGGAGAGGGGTATGCTCACAGTATCCAGTCTATGTATTTACTCAGGCTTCAGAGGTGCATTTTCAATTTGAAATTCACACCACTGATATCCAAGCCCCAGCCAAGTCACTGGTCATCCAAAATCATTAGAAGCCTGAAAATAGAAGTATCGCAGTCAGATTATCTCATGAACACATAACGAATTCAAATGTGCAAAGTACTTCCCTTGTTACTTCATCATGTTTGTCTGTCATTGAAAACATTTTCAGCTCCAGGCTAAGCAGCTATTTAACCTCTGAAAATGACTAAATGATTTCTCTTTGACTACAAAAGCAGACTGTGTTCTTAAATTATATGGTCTAATGTACATTATAATAAGGCCGACAGACAATTTCTTGATGTATAAGAAGGCTCTGGATGAGCGGTTTAGACACTGTAAATCATTGTCTAGTCTAATCTTTCACATGTCTTACCTTGCCTGGTCAAGAGGGCTTTGTGCCACTGAGAGCTCTTACTCCCATGTAATGACATGCCAGAATACGCCAGGTATCACAGCCAGCTGAACAAAAGGGATTGAACAAAATGCCTGCCAATTTTCCCCTACCAGTAATTCTGGATTTCTAAAATATTTCTTTGAGGAAAGGACCTGAAAATAACTTAACACCGTCAATACATGCAAATATACCACCCTTCTTGAGTGGCAGTTGAGAAATACTTAATTTATTGTTGAAATGCAGCTACTGCAAAGGGGAAAGATGTGAAAACAGGAAAGGCAGGCACATGGCTGAGAGGGAAGAATATGTTACAGACTTCTCTACAGAGTTAATGCATGCTTTGATTATTTGAATGTTGCCTCCAACTTCTGTTCTACCCATACACAAAAAGTTTCCATATAAGTTTAGCAATGTCTTCAGTAAGAGCAGGTCTACTTGTTGGGGAGAGGGAAAAGGAACAGAGAAGTTTTAATTCAAATTAGTACACCTGATGTTTACTATAGTATTTGAATGCTATCACTTTCAAACAAAAGAGCTCAGACGTGTTACTAAAAGATAGTGAAGAGGTAAGTTCAGAGAATAAGTATTTTTAGAGTATTATGATTTGCTGTGAAGGTGCAGTTTAGCTCTAGTCACTCCTCAGTTGGGTTATACTCAAATGTTATTCCACACTACCTGTTTCAGGGGTGTTTGGGTTTTTTTGTTTGTTTGGAGACAGGTTTTTGCCTAAGAGGAGTAGAATTTGAGTTCTGATATTTCAGGTCAATCCTGCAGCAAAGAAACAAAATGTAAGTAACTAATAGTGTCACTTTCATGAGTTTGAGAGTTATTTTAATGCTTTTGAGGTGAGCATTAATGGAAGAGGTTGTATGGTTGTCTTATTTTTTAAAGATAGAAACATATTTCAAAGCTAAGAAACAAAAAAGAGGAAGATGAAAGGGAAGGCAGGTGGTGGGAAGATACAGCAAAAGTGTCATTTATATATAGTATAAATAGGCTAATTTTTTAACTGGCACTGTTAATTGCAAAGTCCACTATATAAAGAATGGTTCAGCAACTTAAACACTCAGAAAATGGAGGAACTGGGTGCTAGACCTTCCTCAGAAGAATTCAAAGTCACAACTCACTCACCCAAGGGGTGTGTCCGAGCCACCCTACAGAGCCAGGTGCTTGCTCTCCCCTCCATCACCACCAGAGCTGGGCCATCAAGAAACCAGAATTGCAAGAATCATGTTAGAAAAACAACAAGCAAGGAAAAGCCTAGCTATGAATTGGGCACAGTTGTGAAGAGGTAGACTTGGGCTCCATGCTTTGGTCCCAGGATGTTTGTCACATTTTATAGCAAAGTCTTTGAAGTCAATGGAAAAGCGTGAGTGGGGAAGGGACTGAGAAAGGAAAGAAGTGTCTTTAGAAGTAACCTAGGAAATAGGAATGGGACACTAAGTCACTCCCTCTTCCAGCTGAATATCTTAACTTCTAAGTTACAGGGTTAGATTGCTTCTCACTTGCCTCCATTCCAACTATGTCCCATTTAAGGCACCTTTCTGAACTCCACCCAGAGACTTGAAATGATGACAGGAATTGCCATCAATTAGAGGACATCTGTCAAGCCGGGTGAGTGGAAGGAGCATGTCCCTTCTGAAATGCCAGGAGAGATGTGAAGGTTACCAGGTCAGCATTTTCTCAGATATTTATGGATTAAAAACTGAACCCTGGCCAAGTGAAGTGAGACGATGGAGTGTCAAGGACAAGTATGCCTTGCAAACTTGCTCTCCTCCTTTTGTCTCAGAGAGAAAATTATTCTGGAGTGAATTTAAATAATGCAACCACAGTAAAGTAATTTAGTATCCCAAGAAATGAAGATGGAAGTGGCAGAATCCAATCTCATAAAATTTTTGCCAAGGAGAGTTAAAGCTAACTATCGAGAAAAATCATGCGAGGAAAGGAAAGAGACATCTAACAATGCAGGTGTGATGGAGAACTGATTGGATAAAGACACCAGAGGAAAGATCAGAGTGGGTGAAGACTTACCTGTAAGATAAGAACCAGTAGTACTTGGAATTATGAACAAGAATAAGGAGTTTTAACCTGGAGAACTTGTGCCAATTAAGAAGGAAAGGGGAAGGCACCAAATATAAAAAACTCAGTCTGAAACTTGCAGAGAAACTGAACTGGAATAAGAACTCTGAAAACAGAGATCGAGACAAGGTAGGTAAAGTTCATGAAATGGGAATGGGGAAGGTGCTAGAGGAAAAAGATGAGAACAAGAAGGCACAGGCTCAGGGTGATCGCGGAGGTAAGTCTCCGCGCAGCAGGCTCAGCATCCTTCACCTCCAGAAACCTGGCATAGAATTTAATATGCCAAAGGCTGGCGTCAGATGAAACTGTAAAGATATCCCATTTTCCATTTGTGTCTTTTCATCCTCTTAAACTAGTGTTTCTAGACATGGAAGACAACCACCTGCTATTACTCTGTTAGCTAAATGGAATATATTTCTGCATTTGATCTAAAGACTCTGCCCTACTGACTAATTTTCATACATTGACCTAATGTTTCATAACTCAATTTATTTTCATAATTCAAAAGCTAAAAAAATAACATGCACACTACTCCTCCTCACCCTGAATCCTGCATGAAGAGAGTATCAATATACGAAAGCCAAGCTGGCAGAAGCATAGAAATGCCTGTGCGACTTTAGGTCAGCCCTCGTTTACTACAGAATACATAATGACAGTCATCAATATTTCAGTCTTTAGTAGTTCTATCTTTAATATTTATACTTCTAGATATTTCTTCCCCCAACAGTCACACTTCATTGCACAGGATCAACTTGAGCTCTTTGTTCACCTTAGAACTATATGACAAGAAAGATAACTGCATTAAAGAAAATCTCCAGATTAAGGCACTTGAACAGTGCTTTGTGGAACAGCAATCTATAGCAATCCCTGTCAGCCATCTTCTTGTGCAATGTCAGCTTTCCAAAGTAGGTCGTCAATCTGGGATACTTTAAAAAAAGTATTCAGAAGCAAAATAACAAACATTAGTTTCAGTAAGTAAAGCATTAGTTTTAAGTATTACAGCCCAAAGCTCCACCTTGCCTTGCTGATCAGGTAGCAAAGCAAAACCAGATGCTGAGCTGTCTTGAAAAAGCAGAAGCCCAAAAGCCTGGCTCTACATGGACCAGGACTCAGCTGAGATTTTAAATAAAAATATTGGGAAAAACAAAATAATATAAAAAAACCCAACCCTCCTTCTTTCACATTCAACCGTAGAACATAACACACCATCCCAAAACAACGCATGTGCTTGCCCTAAAAACTGGAATACTCCTGGTGACCCCTGCAAGGGAGATTACCCTTTACACTTTCGGATCTTGAAAAACGTGCAGCCATGAACTTGCTTAAGAGAAAAAGATGCCAAGAGCCCCTGAAGGTATTTGAAGATTAGGAGTGAGGCTGTCTAGACAGAAACCAAGCTTGTAATAACCAATCCTTCCTAATTGACATCTCGCAAACAAACCTCTCCCAAATAGCTTGATCATAGTCATAGCTTCATTCCCTGGAACCAGATGTAGGCAAGATGCCAGGCACTGGTAGGAAACTGCCGGGACCAGAGTATGCCGGCATAGCAGACGCTTACCGCATAGCTAGAATACTACAACAGTGTTATCTGCTGTATTTTCTGTACAAGTGCCATGAATAAAATTCTTCAGAAAAAATGAATGAGAAGATAACTCATTGTCAGCAAGACACCCTGTTCCTTAACAATATTCCTAAGGGCAACAAGAAAACATAGTAAAATAATAAACATTTTACCTTCTTGTCTTCCCAATTCTCTTATCTGTTCTTTTTGTAGATGATTATGTTGTGATGATGTCAAATCCATACTATGTTGCAATACCTGGGACAGATAAACACAAGCCTGCCTGAATAAAATGACTTTGTTTCTTTTTCCCACACTTCACAAAAAATTATTTTTACATGTATTGTGCTATAATTTACTTCTATTGATAATAAAGACACGTAGACACATAAATATCAGTATTCAAAACATAAAAGAACCAGAAGTAGCAAACTAGTTCAACTGTTAAACTCTCAAAGAGAGGAAAAAGCAAATAGATATAAAAACCAAAAAAAAAGAGCTTTGATAAACATTTAAAACAATGTTACGAAAATCTAAAATTAGAGTCAATTCAAATCAGAGTTGGTAGGCTTATAAAAGATTGAAAGGAAAGGTAGCAACAAATGCCTGAAAGAGAAGAAAAATTGCACCAAAAGGATCTAATCTTGTTTGAATTAATTGGCTTGGAAGGGAAGGAAACAACCTATTAGTAAAAGTTACACATAAGTAGGAAGCAGGAGCTATAGACAATACGCAGAAAAGAATGTGTGTGTGTGCCTATATAGACACAGAACATGTAGACTCGGGACAAAAAAGTAGTAGGAAAAGGATGATAGAGGACAAAACAATTTGCAGCTGTCCACAGAAAAGCAGACAAACAACCGATAGTCTCCAGTCCTTGATATTTTACAATCAGAAGAACCCTGAGTTCACAGGGGGAAAAAAAAAAAAAAAGAAAACAAATAATCCGTGCTCTGATAATTTGTAAAGCTCTTGCACTGTTATACAGAAATTTGACTGATTTTTGCAGGAATGGCAGCATACAGTTAATAATCTACAGACATCGAAACATCCAAAAGGGATACAATTAAATAAGGCAATAGGTGAAGGAGTATCTCTATCTAGTTTAAAAAAAAAAAAAAATCAAAGTAAAAACATACAGTGAATACTGAGAAAAATTCCTCACAGTGCAAAGCCTTAAGCAGGTTTTCCTCTCAAGGCTTCAGACAAAGAGGACAGTATAGAACAGCTGTGTCATGTTAGCAAGGATGCACCATTGTCTCTCACCTTCACCCTGCGGAAGGCTTACAGGTTTAATGTTTAACCTTATCATCACAAAACCAGAAGCCATCAATCCATTCAAAGGTTAAAAATAACTTAGGGGCTTCTCACAACACTGTAACTTGTAGAACAAAAATACTGTTGTTATGTTTACATCTGTATGAACTTAGTAATAAAAACATCATCACATGAGGAACAGAAAAGAGATTCAATGGGATTCAAAGACTTTGTATGCCTCTTCAGAACAACAAGCAGCATTAGAAACTACTGGGACATTAAGCAGTAAATGTTACACACATCCATCAGCTTGTCATCTACCTCAGAAGTACAAAAAAAAAGACAAATTTTCTTCCCATTAGAAGATAAAGATAACAGGTAAATAAACAGTCCCTTTGCATTCTGAAGGGCAAGCAACATTGCACTATAAAATCACCCTAAAAGGGAAAACCTTTGTATTTTGTGGTCCTCTTTTTTTTTTTTCTTCTAAAAATATCCTCGGAGGCACACTGAACTACACCAGAAGCTGTATGACTTTAACACACGAATTCAGGAGTCTTCTGAGCAGGGCAGAACAGCTCAGCTGCTGAGTAACACTGTTCAAAGTAAACGATACAAAGTGCTTTAGGGTAATTTTCACAAACAACTGAAATACCACTGGCACCCACTCCTTTTTTTCCGTCATTACCTGAATCCCCTGCAGCTTTCCAAAGATGGTACTCAAACAGATAAGTCCTTATCTGCCCGGCTGTTTCCCTCCCAGGCAGAAGCGCACTCCAAAGTGTGTGTCCCACGTTGCCAACACCCCCACACCAGAAGCAATAATAAATCCCGACAGCTGCGGCACGAACGCAAAGTGGGCACCGCACACCGCGTCCCTTACGTAAGGGAGAAGATTTCATAACGGCAGCGAGCATCCGCTCAAAGGAGTTCCGGCCAAGGAAGTAACCAACTTTGGAGTATTTTTTACACAAATAAGATATAGGGGGACAGTGTTAGTAACTGCTCACCGTTACTAAAAAGTGACCAAAGAGCAAAAAGTCATTCTTCAGAGTCGAAGGGGTCTTCCAAGCACAGAGGGCAATTTCCGATGGGGCAGGAGCGTGTTTGTGGCAGGGGCATAGCAACGCATGCTCGCGTCAGATTGCAGAACTGTAACAGGGTACACGACTCCCAAAATCCTACCCCACTTTACAGCCAAACAAACATGCAAGAGACAGCTGCCAACGTGCATAAACACCTCACTTCTCACATGTACACGCATGTAAGAGGCGTACATTCGCTCAACAGATCGCCACCACTTCCTGCACGGGAACAACAGATACAGCTACCTTTAAGACTTCTCTTATTTAGACTGCAACCAATCCAGGACAGGAACTGTCTCTTACTTCACCCAGGTTTTAGAAAGTTAGACTCCAACTTCCACTGGGGTTTGTAGGTGTCATTGCAAAAAAAAAAAAAAAAACCCACAAATTACTGTACAAGAATACTAAACAAGTCCTAGAGAGAACTGAAGGTCTCCGTACTTTACCATACTTGGCAGAAGAGATTAACAGGAGCCCAAACACATCATCGAGACCTCATCTACACCTTTAAAGAAAAATTTAGCAATGCTAATGAATGATCTGCAAGACATTGCTGTACACTGTCTGTCCAGGCTGAGAATTTGCTTAAAATACAATAATCTTTAACAAATGTAGTATCAAAAGGGATAGTTTTTGCCCAGTAAACACTATACATGAAGTATTGGACTCTCTGCAACCATAACGGCCAGATCCACCTCAGCCCTCCATCCTTTATAGGAGGCTAATGTTTCACACGAAACTTCATTGTATGAACTTGGACTTTCAAACAATGAAACAATGAGAAATGAAGCAGAAATATTAAATGACAAGAGAAAAGCACAGAGGAGAACTAAAATGTAATGTACGTACACAAGTATGACCGGCAGCATTCGGTGCTTTTTCCACTTTAATCCACAGAAGCTATAAATAAATTCTACGACCATCCAGAAAGAAAGGTGAGGTTAGGGAGAAATCTGAACCTAAAACCTTGTTTTTCTCACAAATTAATCCAACATCAGTGATGCAAGCAGTGGGTACCTCTGAACATCACTTTTGCAGGCAAATTCTGTCTTTGGACATGGTCGTGTAACTCCAAGTCTAGAAATGTGACATTTACATTCAGAACATAAACAGTTACTGCACCTCGGACTATACAAGGACTTACTGTATTGTGTGATTTTCCATGAGATTTTACGAGGGCTTACATCGCCCCATGAATGGTTCAATAAGCAACATTACTTCAAGCACAAAACTTTCGAGACAGGCATAATGAAGGGAATAAGGAAAACACCAACTGAACTGATTTTCCTTCTCTCAAGTAGTTTTCAAAATCTCATTGATGTTTGAAGCTAAGGAAGAAATAGATTGCGTGTGATTTTAACAACTCCCTCTCCTCAGTTGGAGGACGAACGGACATCCCATTTTGGCTCAATTTTAAAATCTCAAACCAGAAAACCTGTATCTAGTCCAATCTAGGTCTTTAGGGAGTAAATATGCTAAAATTATTTTTTTCATTGTTTAAAATATCTCCTATTTAAGTTCTAGATACAAAATGCACAACGAATACATGACAAATAGGGATAATTTATTCTTTTTTATCAAAAATTCATTAGAATATTTACAAGCTTTAAATCACAAAAACCGTGCACGCACGGAGTCTCTTAATTTTAAGACTTCTTTTCTTTAAGGTTTTTTCTTTTTTATTCCTCTCTTACTCCGTGATTTCTTTTTTCTACCCTCAAACACAGGTTTGGCAGTCACCATGACTACATTTCCCAGTTCTTCATCCTCACCACTTGAGCTGCTGCACCCTTTCTTCTCTTTATGGTCTGCTGTCTCCATCGCAGAGACGTTCTTCCTCCTTTTACTCATTCCTAAACCTCTACTTTCTGATTCCTCTACTGAGGAGTCACTAGAAGTTTCTGAAAGATGCAAATTGCCAATAAAACCACCTCCATATAGCTGTTCTTTTCTGGAATCTGCATGTTTTCTTCTCTTTCCACTTCGGACTTCTGTTGCCACAGCTTGATGGTTTGTGCTGCCTGCCGTACTTTCCCCTTTCCTTTCCTCGTGCTGTTTAAGTTCCAACTCCATAATAGCGGCGGCCTCCTGAATTTCATCGGCAGCTTCTTTTTCCTTCCTCTTCAGACAAGTCACAGCTCTGCGTAGTCTCTGACTTTTAATAGCTTGTTTTTCATGCTGTGCTAGTCTGAAGAATGAATCAATTCGAAGCTGAGTCTATCAAAAATAAAACAGAGAAGCACCTTCAGATATTCTGTGATGGGAATTCAGTTGTTATCTCAGCTATACCATAAAGCATCCCAAATTAAAGCAGGACAAAGGACTAACAAAATTAATATGCATACAAACAGATGTGAACAATAAGATGCATTATTATAGTAACATCTATACTTTATTATAAATGATGCAGCAAGAACCCTTACAGAAACTAAATAATAAGCGAACTCCAATGAAATTTTATAAACACAGTGCTGCTGATGATTAGACATCTGTTGGTACTTTCAACCCTAACACAAAGAATCTCTGTAGTGCTCGTAAGTATGTCTTTACAAACACATCCTTAGCTTCAAGCTGTTAAAACAACAGATTGTTTACTAAGCAAATGTTTTAAGTGCACTTTACATTTGCATATGCCAGTGCAACAAAACGCAGTCATTTGACTCAAGTTCACTGTAACACATGCTGCTACAGTATAAAGATTTAAGAGCAGAACTAGAACCGTCTGCGTTATTCAGCCACAGCTAAGCTTGCTGTATAGACTAAGCTTCCTAAAATTGTCCAAGAGACAGACACTTCCAAATAATGTTCCAGTCAACCTGAAAGTATATAGATTTAACTACGTGTTTTGGTACCTTTCACACCTTTGAGTGACAGGGAGAACCTAGAAGACTGGTTTATACT